TCCAGCCTAATCATCAACCACCTCAGGGATGCCATTAGGCTGATGTCGGTCGGCCACAATACCTTGTGATGCTTGTCATTCCTTTAGAACTCTCGTTTTGCCGTTGTTCCACGCAACATGCACTGTCATAATATAATGTACTTCCTTTGATCTGAATGAATGTGATATCGAAGGGAACCATCATCATAATAAGAGTACTCTGATGAACAATTCGATGATGAAGGGAAGATGAAAAAGCCATGTCCCTAATTTAAATTTGATATTCAAATAATAGCATCACTAAATTAGCAAATTAATTTTAATGGATAATAATTTATTTACATAATAATTGCAATACAAGAAAATATGTGTAATGATCAATCAATAATTTATTATTCAAAATTAATTACCCTGTATTAATCTAGGATTTTCATTTTCTCATGTCGTTTGTTTTTGGAGATGAGATATCTCATGTTGTAGACTTAAGATGTGGTGGGACCCACACTTATTTAAAAAACGGTGCAAATTTTTTGCAGCTACTGCAAAGTTTTATTGGGTGCAGCATATATAGGTGTTTGTGGTCTGGGTTTGATCGATTTTGGAAGCAAAAATTATCTGATTCAATCCCTTCGGTTTGGTTTTTTTTTCAAATCTGATTTGATGCAATCCCATTTTTTCGGTTTGGATTGGATTGGTTTTCGGTTTTTTAAAAATCCTAAAATTTGTTTCATGATTATTGTGCAAATAATATCTTTTGTATATATTAGCATTGCAATTTATTTTTTTAAATACAAAAGTATCAGCAAACGATAATATAGTTTTTTTTTGGCAATGAGATATGGAGCTTTACACAAATGAAATTTTGTTGATAAGATATGACTAGATTTTTTCTTGGGTTTAGTTGATGGGTTAATGGGTATTGAGTTTAAAAATTTTTTGGGCTATGATTGGGGAAAGATCCAAGTAGGTAGAAGAGAATTAATATATTGGATCATTTTGGATTGGATCAATTTTCATTAACCAATCCGAAAACTGATCCAATCCAATTAAAATTTGCGATTTTTTTTCAGTTTTGGATTTATTTGGTTATCGATTTTTCAGTTCATTCATGTCGCAACTGGATCGCGACGTGACAGCGGAGGAAATTGAAATGTTTAAAAACAATGGAGTCGCCACCAATGTTTATTCGGGAAAATATTGGAAAAATCTTTTTGTTTGAGAATTGGTCTTTGAAAACAGAATTGGATTCGGGAGTCGATTACGGGTAGGGAAAGTGTTAGCACCATACACCGTCCGTTTTAAAAAAAATGGTTACCTTGTATTAATTGTGCAAATTATTGATAAGATTTTAATATTTTATTTCACCCTCAAGAATTAAATAAAATTGATTAAAGAAAAGAAAACTAATTTTTGTAAATTTATTTTTGTGCTTGACGGGATGGGTTCCGCTCCGATGTATCCCTCGGTACAATTGGGAACTCAAAGCTACGTAATTCTGTAGAAAATATTTGTTTGTTGATTGATTTTTTTTAAAAAAAAAATAACTTGAGAAAACTTATTGAAAATTTTTGGATTTGATGATCTATATTTATTTAAATAATTTTTATTTTTTCTATTGTAAATTTTACAGTAAATTTTGAATCACCAAGTCGTCACGGCTAAAACGATTCAAAAGGTTACGGGATTAACAAGTTGTCTCAACTCAGCTAATCCTTTAAAAATAAATTTGATTTTTTTTATATTATTGTAAATTTTACAGTAAATTTTGAATCACCAAGCCGTCACGGTTAAGACGATTCAAGACAAAATATGTGGGGTTAACAAGCCGTCGCGACTCAGCTAACTTCCATTTCGATTAATAGCAGGCTAATCTTCTTCATTCTTTATTTTTTTAAAATAATAATTTTTAATAACAATAAAAAACTATGATTGTTTGTTTGTTCGTTTATTATTAATAAATATTTTAAAATCATCAGACTGTTACAGTCGAAATGATAAAAAAATTTGGATTAACAAATTGTCACAACTCAGTTAATCCATTTTTTACTATAAACACACCTTATGATTCTATTTCAAATCTATACATAATAATAATAATATTATCATTATTATTGATCAAATTGACTAGATAAATATAAGAAAAATACAAACATACCTTGTGTTCATAGAATATCACAATATCACATACTTATCGATTCCATTCTATACCACAAATACATCAAGTAATAAAAAAAACCATCTTCATTGTTAGCTTTTCTTTTCCTTTTATATTATTATCATTTTTTATTTTTGTTTTTATTATTATTACCTTTTTTGAAATATTAGGAGTTTTTAAATATTATTTTATAAAACAAATAAAAATCAAATAAAGAAATATAAAATTACAGCAAACCATCTGAGAACATATACGCATGAATGGTCATGGCAAGTTTGTACAGTGGTTTATATATAGGGTTTTATATATATCATGTTGTAGGAAACTTGTAACATCATGTCACTCTCACAAAAAGTGATGGCCCCACCTTTTTTCTTTCTTTTTGAGTGAGACTCACATGAAATGTATTAAAGTAACATGACACTACAAATTTCCTACAACATGACATATATAAAATCCTTATATATAATAAGCAAAGACTTTGTTTATTGAAAGACACGAATCCATTAATCATTGATGCTCACACTAGTTTTCTTTTGTATAATAAAACCACTTTTTGTTTTATATTTATTTTTTTTTATTTTTTTTGGAGGTTTATTTATTTATTTTTTTTAGAAAAAGAAAAGAGAACATTTGACCATTTATAAGCCTATATCACCGAAATGGATTTAACTGTACCTTTATGAAATGAGTTTAAATATTATTCAGTACCAACATGTTGGGCTTAGCCCACTTTTCTTTTCATTGAGTTAAAAGGTAAACCTAAACCACAAAAATATCTCTAACTAGGAACCCAATGGGCACACGCTAATACGAGACAGGGAAACAAAAAAAACTCACGGTGATGGTGGGTTAGCAGCGTGGAAAGCGTGATGTGAAGTTTTAGAGAATTGGTGAAAGGTATGAAATGAAGAGGATGAGTTTACCATGGGCTTATATTGGTGCATAACGGTTGGTGCGCAACTAGTTGCGCATAAGATTGATATGAAACTTATAGTGGGTTGACATATAGCAATTGCACATTAGTATTTTGCGTATTTAGTTGCCATCCATCATATCCGTAATTGGCTGCATTAATTGAATAAAATATTTGTAAAAAATACTAATTTGGTAATCTTTTTTAAAATGCAGTTATATGAATTTTTTTATTAGAAGTAGAGTAAAAAAATAAAAAGTAAATCGATATCAGACTTTAGGTATGAAAGAGGGAGTATTTTTGACTTGATAACTAGGCGATACCCCTGCATTACAATTACAAACTTGAAACCGGCCCAATGGGTTTTGCACACAAAGCCTAACCAAAAAAATTTGAAAACCAAGGGCATGTTTGAATTTTGTTTTAAAAAATATTTTTTTGATTTTCAGAATAAAAAAAATTAAAAAACTTGTTTAATAATGTCTGTTTTGTGATTTTTTAGTTTTTAAAATTTATTTTAGAGAATATATCTCGATTGTTTTTGTTTTGTATTTTAACTTTTAACTTAAATAAAAAAATACAGAAAATACCTATTTTATTAACCATTCTAATTCTACAATATAAACAGATTTGTTATTGCCATTGGTACTCTATTGGAATTATTTTAATCTTTTATTTTTTCAAATATATATTTAGTTTATTGAAAATATAAATAGACAGATTTAAAATAAAAATAAAATAAAATAAACCATTATAATAATAATATTTTTTTCTTTAGCAACCATCCATATATATATATATATATATATATATATATATATATATTTATATATATATATAGAAAAATATTTCTCCAGAAATTTGAGATAAGTTTATCTCCGGCCAGCCTAAAACTACGTCGTTTTGTTTATATATATATATATATATATATATATATATATATATATATATATATATATATATGGACAAATATAAAAAACGCATATGGATGATATTTGAACATAACCCTATTTGCAATGCATATACCTCGTTAGCTCGTTCATTTTCTTATATTCATTACATTAGTTTTTTTCTTGTTCATTTAATTATTACAAAGGGAAAGTTAGATAACTCATCTGTAGTTTAATATTTTATCATTTATCCTCTTGTACTTTTCTTTTTATTCCCCTATAATTTTTTATTATTTGCAGGGGCAAAATAAACAAATTAACCCAATATTTAATGACATTAAAGGAGACTTATATTAAAAAAACAAATAATTTTAAAGCAAACCACTGAGGTATTTTTAAATTTTTCCCTTACTTTTTTTTTTTTTCCATTTTCATAAGTGCATTAAATTGCATCATACCTTAATACCATAGTTGTTAAAATCTCGATTTATCACTACGATCTTACGTTTTTACGATTTTTTTCATCAAAACGATTTTACCAATATTCCAAATGCTTTTACGTTTTTATGATTTTTTTACGTTACGATTTTACGTTTTATGATTTTTTAGTCCCCTTTCAATTTTACTAAAAATCTCGATTTTAACAACATTGTTCAATACTTTCCAGATTGGATACTACACAAACACTTTTTTTAATTATGACCAAAAATTAGAAAAAATATTATTATATGCATGTCATGCATCGGATCTAGGACACCGGAGTTATGTGGGTGTTAGAATTTCAAAGCATATGTGTATGGCATTAACAAATATGGTGAAAACCACCACTAAATCTCAAAATTTGTCATATACAATCGTTTATCTCAAATCATTAAGATAATATAAAGAGCAAAATATAATCTGAATCCATAATGTCAGAGCAGATTTTTTATTAAAGAAATGATGATCTTTCAAGCCTAATCATGCATATAAGTTGTCCTTATGGAAAAGATCGCTTTAATTTGGTTAACCATACTTGATAGTTTATATTATACCTTTATTTAATGTATTTGTCCAAAAATTAGATTTGAGTCCAAATGTGGGTACTAAAACCAGCTAAATCTCCGAGTTCATCCACCTCTTTCACTAATTCCTCAACCTTCTCCACCACTTCCAGGAGCAATGACACCAAATTTGCAATTGCTAGCACTTCGTCGTTCTCAAGTTTTGATATCTTGGACGTGGAAATCACCAAGTTTAGCTCTGCTCTCGCTGCTTTTAACTTGGCCAACATGCTGCCCTCTGTTTCACATTTTCTCATTTGCTTCATGCTGTCTCCGAGTTCTCGCAAAGTCCACACAATCCTTGACCCAACTGCTTCGCACGGTTCTATATGTACCCATTTTGACTGCCTCAGAGATTCCATGGCCTTGACAACAAATATTCATTTAACCCGAACAAATTAGCCCCATCAAATCTAATTTTGTCATTTTTGCAATTATATAAATTGTAAGTAAAATATACCTACTTGTTCTGAGGCTTGTAGACAACTTCCCACAGCAATAATGTATACAGCCAGTTCTCGAAGAACCTCTCCAATCTTTAGGTACTTTTCCCAAGGGTGGGAAAATCCAAATTTTCCATGCCAAGGTTCCCATTTTGCGAAATTTGCCTGAAAACAGAATAAACATTGATTCTACCCTTACACCTTCTCCCTCTCTATAAAAGTTATAGCTCACAACGAAACAAAATATCATAACTCAACTTAATATATAGTTTTTCGTTAATTAATTTTAAGTAAGATACTAAACCAATCCAAAATGAAAAAATAAAATAATTTTTTTTTTAGGAAAGCTAATCCTGATATAAATGTTCCTGGTTTGAAGAGGATTATTTTTCTGAAGAATACATGTGATTTATTCAAAAATAAAATAAAATAAATAAATAATAAATTTACATACCAATAGTTCATCCTTGGACTTGGAGGTCAATATCGCCTTGCAAGCAGCAAAGCCCGCAGGAGGTCGGCTTTCCTTTTTATTATTGGATTTGGTATATTCCTCTAAGCAACCTTCAATGAAAGAAAAAATTATTATTATTATGGCTTACCTAATACCTATATATTTAAAGCATCATTGTATTAATATTGAACCCCATCCACTTAATTATGAAAGAAATTAAATTTGAGCATGAAAAATATTAGAAAATCCAACTATATATATTGAATAATGATATTCAATAAAATATTTTTGTATATTATTTAATTTATGTTCTAGACCATCATATTAGACCCCTAACTAGGCCCCACTATGTGGCTTATTACCAAACCGCCAAAGACAACGTGACGTGACACATACTTTGCAAGTGCCTTTAATTAATTGACATGCAAGAGGCAACGCTGCACCGCCCGCAATGACACCCTATACAAATTGCGAGTGTGGCACATAGCAACAGTCAACTCGACCACTTGCATTGCTTACGTGTGTGTGGTGCATCACCGCACTATGATACCTTGGTCAGGATGCGTGTGGCACGTTGCTGCACTATGTCACCTTGGAAACTTGGACCCTCTAAGGCTATACATCGTTCTACCTTGTTAGCCCTGTTGCTAGGTTATGGTCTATAATACAAGGGCCATGTACACAATCTACTCTACTTTTATACACTCCACTTCAACCACTTACTCCCGTGAGTCCTTGCAAATCCACCACCACCATTTGTTCATCATAGCATATGACTTCAACAATTCTCAACCACCATTTAAGTCTCTACATCAATATCATCATCTGTCCACGTAACTTGGACATAACACTATATACGAAGTGTTCTATAAAAATCTCTATTTGGTACATACCAAAAAACTTTAGTAGGTTAATTATTTGAAATATCACTAATAAATATTAAACTATAAAATTTCATATTAGTTTTAGCTTAACATTCATTTAATGTAATTATTACTAAATCCTTATTTTTTTTTTCTTTTAAAAAAAAAACGGTTTCATCAATCTTTGGTTAAGAAAAAGTGTGTTTTATTCCTCTGGGATCGACCTAATTTTTTGTTATGAAAATACTAGGTTATTTGGTTCATGTTAACCTTTTTTGTAAGAGCGATGTATACGTACCTTGAACTGTATTGGCAAGGTTTAGGAATCGTGAAGCTGTGGAATGATGAAGTTCATCGCTGGCCCACAAGGGAAAGATGAACAAGCTCACACAAATGCCAATAAACAAACCAACTAGAATTGTGAAGAGACGTTGTTTTGCTGTGTTCCATACATTGTTTTTATCAGCTACACGTACGCCGGACACCACAACTAGACTGAAAGTCATTATGAATATCATACATCCGTAATCGTATCTTTTCTTGATGCGTGGAACCGTTCGAAAATATGTAGCAATTGATCCTGAAATTAATATTTACCCCATGCACCTAATGTTAATTTATTAAAGATATGCACTTCAAATTAAATATTGGTTAAACTGTAATACAATTTTTACCACATAATATTCTAATACTAATTAATACAACTGTAATTAATTGTAAGAGATGTATCAAAAACTTACCAAAGATAAATATTGAAACACCAACGATCATAAAGTTGGCAATCCCTCCCATGTACTGGGCTAAAATTGCTGATGAGTAACCCAGTCCTCCTCCTAAAAGAGTTCCCAGTGCACGGTTGAAACCCTTTCCTAGTGTGCCTCCTGACATGTTGATCAAATTAATCTATATTAGATTCAGAGCCATTAATTACAAGATATTTTCTAGCATTTTTTCGACGAATAATAAAGAATTGAAGCAATCATATTAAAGTACCTGCATAGAATTCAAAGAGTACAACAACAGTCATGATAGCCCACACTGGATCATCCCCAGCTCGATCATGCAAAGGTTTCACGAGGAACAAAAGTGAAACCAAAACAAGGGCGATTCCCGCTTTGACACTGTGGATAATATTCCGAAGGTCACTTTTCGTATGCAAGTCACTGAAATAGGAAAAAATGGGGACAAGAGAGCAGCAGTTGATTTTATTTTTCCAAAGACAGGAATCAATGGGTGATTGGAGTGCTTTTTTCTCCCTCGTACGAGCAATTATCAGTTCTGCGTTCGTTATGGATATTACTTTTATTGATTCCATTTTGTCTTTCCTCAAGTTGGAGAGAGACACTAGTTATACTATGCATAAGAGTGGATGGAAGAATAATGGAGGATCTTACAGTTGAAGACCAAAATTAGTTGACATGAATGAAATGAATCAAGTAGCACCAATATCTTTAAATATGAATTAACCTTGACGTACGACAAACCAGTAGAACGTCATTCTTTAGTCACCTTAGCGTAACACGCGCGCGTATATATATTAATTTGGTAGTTTAATTTATATATAAATTGTTTGATAGTCCAACTTGAAGTTTTGTAGCTTTATATATAAACTGTTTGATAGTCTAACTTGTCTAAGTCTAACTTGAAGTTTTATAACCTGAATGTCATTTAATTTTTATTTGTATAAACTAGGAAGACGATAATTTTTGGGATATACATACATATATATATATATATATATATATATATATATATGGCTTATCGTTTCCCAAGATGCTTGAGATAATTTTATATCCGGCTACTAAATCATAACCGTACAAAGATGGATCAATGGTGATAAAAGAAGAGAGAGAAAAATGAAATCATAATCATTCAAAGGTGAATCAATTAATATAAGAAAATAAATAAACAAAACGACATAGTTTTGGGGTGGCCGGAGATAAAATTATCTCAAGTTGCCAGAAAAATATTTTCACACAAACACACATATATACAATGTTATTAAAACCGAACCGGTCATTGACCCGGTCGAGGTACTGGGTCACTGGGACACTAGGTCACTGGTTCAAGCAGTGGGTCACTGGTTCAATCGCATGACCCAGTAATTATATGCAATTTTATAATTTATATTAAAAAATTATAAACATACTCAAATATCTAAAAAAAGATAAAAATTTCAAATATTTTAATATAAAAAATAATAAATCACATATTATTATCCAATAAAAGATCAAACAAAAATATAATGATCGTGATACGGGGCTTTAGGTTCAGAAAACGATATATCTAACTATAAATTAATTCAAATTTTTTTGCATAGTACATAATTGAGATAATATTAGTGTTGTAGGTACATAACTTATGTAAGTCAATAAGCAAAAAAATATTCAAATATGTCCATCATGATTTTTTTTTTAAAAAAAATTGGAATTTTTTTTTTTGGGACCGGGCCGGGTCACCGGTTAACCGACCGGATCACCGGTTTTTTATGAAAACCGGCCGGGTCGGACCGGGTCGCACCGATTCTGATGCATGGCCGGTCCGTTGCTTCAACCGAATCGGTTATATGACCGATTTACCGGTTCCCGGGTCGACCTGGCCTGGTCGGTCGTTTTAATAACTATGCATATATATATATATGGTAAAATCATTTCTGCATCCACTTTACGTACAACAACGACAGGTGTATGGTTATGATTTCCCACATTTAATGCTTTCTTCTTTTGTATGATTATGATTTTTTGCATTTAATATTTTCACGTATATATATGGCAAGTATTTGATTGCTGCACGTACAATAGCTGCAGAAATACAAATCCATATATATATATATATATATATATATATATATATATATAAGAAATTTCTTTTTGGGGGGAGGGGGTTCAGTATCAATTACACATAGGCACTGACCCGAACACAATACGAAATTTTAATGTCCATGTAAATTCATATTTATTTTAGTTTCATATCTCGTCCCAACCTGAAAACAGCAAATTTTTGGATGCTTTGTGCTCCTCCCATTAAGAGGATGACATGTGGGTTAAAAAAAATTTATTATCTTCTCTCTTCTGTTTTTTCTTCTCTTTCCTAATTTCATTGGTCTGTCCCACCCAATAAAAAATAGTCCGGGAGCACTTCAAAACATCTCCTGAAAACCCAAGACCAATGTTATTAAAATCGAGATCTTAAGTAAAATCACAAGGGAATTAAAAAATTATAAAACGTAAAATCATAATGTAAAAAGATCGTAAAAAATCGTAAAACCGTAAAATCGTTTGAAATATTAGTAAAATAATTTTGATGAAAAAATATCGTAAAAACATAAAATCGTAGTGATAAATCGAGATTTTAACAACAATGCTTAAGACTGACTCGTAAGTGTATAATTCATATTTAGCCTAACTTTTATTTTTTTTAATTTAAAATAATGTTAAGTTTTATTATAAATAAATTATATCGTCTCGTTTCAACTTACATAATAAATCGACTCGTAGTACTCGAGTTAAAAGATTATCATGATGTACTATGTCAACTCGCTTATTAAGTTGATCATATTCATTTCAAAAAAATTTAATACAAATTTTTATTTATATTGTGTTTATATTGAGTGTACTTGTATTCATATTAGACCTTGACCCGACACAGAATGGTCATGAAATAAAGGAAAATATAAGAATCATGTTGTAGGATGAGAGATTTGTCATGCAAATGTGTCATAAATATTATGTACTCCGGAGAATACATAGTTATAATATTAAAAAAAAAATTCTCTCTCTTTAGTCATTTTTCTGACCTTGTCAACTGATGTGGAGAGAAAAAAAAATAACTTTAATATTATAACTTTATACTCAATGTTGTTAAAATCGAGTTTTTACCTATAAACAAAAATAGTTGGTAGAAACGTAAATCGTAGAAATGACATAAAACGTAAAGTTTCTACTAATTATAGTCAAGATACAAAATTGTATATATACATATATATATATATATATATATATATATATATATATGTATATATATATGTAAAAAAAAATCACATAAGTCACTACTCAAAATTTAATGAATAACTTCATATATAAAAGACATAAGTCACATAACTATATAAGACATAAGTCTAAAAATACAAAAAGAGAAAATTAAGTTTAGAAAATTGAAAAATAGGGTATTTTAAAAATTAAAAAAATTGAGTTTAAGTAAAAACACAAAAACTTACGTTTTTATCGTTTTTATCCGTTTTTACTAAGGACCGTTTTTATTTGTGTTTTAACACGTTTTTTTATATATTGCATTTTTACCGTTTCTATGTTTTTTAATGTTTTTAGACTTGTTTTTGACAACAAAATTTGTACTCCCGTATTACATAGTTATAATAATATTTGTGGAGAGAAAAAAAATAACTTTAATATTATAACTATATATCCTCAGAATACGTAGTTAACAAATCTCTCATCCTATAGCAGGACATCCGCAGCTCCCTAAAATAAATTGTCACCCCTAATATATATCAATTATCAATTGCAGTATCGATTGTTTAAATTTGTAGATTTATGAAATAGTTTATATGCTCCTCCAATGTGCTTTAATTCTTCTAATTTGTAAATTCAATTTCGCACTCCAAGCTACGATACATGCTATTATTTTGACATCTCTTGCCTATATATCAGCCAGAAAATGTTGCATGTATCTATTTTCAGCTTTCAAAAGCTTTAGCGACATTTTGGGCTCCTTCCACTTGTGAAGGGTGTGACTGACCATTATTATGTTCTCTATCTTATTGTTGAAGAGAAATATTTTTTTTTCTATTTATGTGCCGAAAATGCAATTGTGAAAGTATTTAGGGTTAGAGTGGGCCATTGTCCCCAAGCTAATTCAAACATTTGCCTTGGATTCCATTCGAACTTAAAGAGAAAAGTAGTATAGTATTAGAAATATATAAAACTATTAATATATCCTCATTCAATAGCTTAAGCTTTTGAGTTGAATTGGTTCTTTACATGATATTAGAGCTTCAGTGATTACGAGGTCACGAGTTACCGTCCCTACTTTCGAGTGGAATTAAAACAAGTACAAGATAAACAAAAAAATTAAGTTTAAAGGCCCCCATTCAACACCTTAAGGTTTTGGATTGAAATGATTTGTTACATGGTATCATAACTTCAATGGTCACAAGGTCATGAGTTTGATCCTCACCTCACTTTCTAGTGAAATTAAATAAACACAAGTTAAAACAAAAATTAGACATATGCAATATTCACACTTAAATTTTAGGTTGAATTGATTAATTACAGGTAGTACAAGTTCCCTTCCCCTCAAGCTCCAATGCTTGAGCTTTTGTGTTTATTATTCTTCATGTAAGAAGAAAACTTGTGGAATTCCTTAAATCTAGCCAATAATTGACAACTATTGTATTACTCTACTTTAAGTTAATGTAATTTTACTTCCTTCACCTCCGGGAAAAATTTTCTAGGCCCCGCCATTAAGGAAACGAAAAAGTTAGTTGTTTTTTTTTTTCCTTCGATTTTTGTTTATGCGCTACCGGTTTATTCTCTGAAGAAAAAAAAAACTGATTTTATCAAATATACTTTTAAATCATTGTTGTTCCCTAAATTAAAATTAAAAAAAATATATCTAAAAAAATATTATCATGCACACTCTTCGTATCCACTCCCCTGCTTTTAGCACTACCAAATCAAACATGGTATTTTTTTTTCTCAAGAAAAAACGAATATACGTTCAGCACATTCCCTTGTCAGCATTATTATATTAGACACGATTTAAGAGTTTGAATGGTTCACACAAGCCAAGCATCATCAATCATGGAGCACGCATTGGTTTATAATTTCATATGGAGAAAAGCATGCACTATTAACGCGTGCTCCAAGCACGCATTTGTTTATAATTAGACACTGATATTATAAAAATTTCTACATCATACATAAAAATTCAACCCATCGTTCTACACTCTCCAACAATGCACCAAATGTTTGTTCGTTACACTCGCCCAAAGGAGTATCCCCTAATAATCTGGGGTTGGCATGGCATGTATCTAATATAATATTATGAAAAAGAATTTCTACACATTAATCTATAATTTAGAGCAGAAAAGTAAAACTAATTAAGAAAAAATAGAAAAGAAGATAATTAAATGCACACATATTGCTAAAGTGGTTCCAAAAAAAATAACATAAGAGAAAGAATTAATTTAAGCCAGAGTTGAAAGCACCAAGATATGGTGAGGCAGAAGAAACTAAGTTTAAGGAGCTAACATAAGGATTTCATAAAGTTCATTATATTGAAATATGCAGTTACTTT